AGAGAGAGAGAGACAAGGACCAAGCAAAATATTAAAGAAAAGTACTTTTTCATATAGCTATTCACAGATATGAAGTCTAAAAAAAATTCTTTCTGAAATTTAAATTTTCACAGGGACCTGTTTAGAATTAAATATAACTTTTGAGGTTTTATTATTACCTTTTCCTTCTTTTTGAATATACTCATTGACCACACAGAATTCTTTAAAAACGATTTTTTTAATTATTAGCTTATATAGCATATTTCTGGAACCTTCTAGTTAGCTACCTTGGAACACTACTATAATCTAATCTATGACGTGAACATAGAACATATTCATAGAAACTGCTTTAGCAATGTTTCAGAACTGTCATCTTCATTTTGTATTGCTTTCAAAATGATTGAACTATTAATCTCAATCACAATTATTACTAAACAAAAACCCTTACCAGGAAACTTTGAGTGCTGTCCCAGGCAATGGGCAGGTTTTGTTGTCTTGATTTAAAATGCTAGGGAACACTTCAAGGCCAGCATTTACGGTGATAACTGGTCTGGCCCTGGTTTTAATTTAAAAAGAAAGATATGGTTATTAAAAAATAGATTGATCTCATCAGTTTAAATTCCCATTCACTAGAGATGCAGCTCAATGTCTGTTACTGTTTGTGATAGCAAAAATAGCAGGAATTGCCTAAATGCTAAATGTAAGATGACTGTCTCAGTTTGCCCACGGCTGACCTAATTTCAGTCCCCTACATCCTTGGCAATGACTCAGATCCAGACAAAGAGACAATTGGCCAGCCTATCTGAATTCGGTCCATTAAATCAGAACTGTTACCCACTGTGGGCCCTCCAACTAAAGGGAGGGAACACAGAGAATGCCATAAACCCACCTGCAGAATTTCTAAGACATGAGGAAGCGATGGGGAAAAATTTCTACAAGGCAAAGAGAATGCCTACATCCCATACATACAGATGTGCACATGATTTCTTAATGCATGGAGTATTTATGATATGGCATACAACAAATTACTGTTATAAGAAAAAATGTTTATTGTATGCCCTTTTAGAAGTCTTTTTTTTATTACTTTGCTTATGTGTAAGTATGTGTATCTATATGTGAGGTATTTGCAGGTGAGTACAGGTGCCTGTGGAGGCCAGAAGAAGGTATCAGATTCCCTAGAGCTGGAGTTACAGGCTGTTCTAAGCCACCCAACACAGGTGCTGGGAACTGAACTCTGGTCCTTTATAAGAACAATACTCTTTTTTTTAATTATTAATTTATTAACCACATACTTAGAAGAAGCATTTCATTACAACAGCATTGATATATTCAATAACAATTTACTGAGCTAAGATGCATCTCTTTCAAAATTGGCTGTAAATTTTTATTTAGGTTTACAGTTGAATTGTTACAGTTATACAATATTTTACTCAGTATTAACCCTATGAGACATAAAATTAAATGAGGTTTTAACCTTTAAAGAAGCTCTAGTTAAAATGAACCTGTTTGGGCACTTAGTATGAACTACCTTTGTGGTCACATGATACTGAGGCACTAGCAGAAACTTCATTATGCCTCTTAAGTGAAAACCTGTATCACTTTTAATTCGTTTTTTTTGTGGAGGTCTACAAATAGAGCCCAGCGTTTTGTGTGGACTAGGCCAGCACACTTCTAGCCACTACCCACACATTTCAAAGAGAGACTAGAAACATAGAAGAATGTCTTTGAATAAAATCTTAAGGAGAATGAGGAAAATTCTGAATATTTTTCTAAATATGTTTGAAAAAATATTACAGATCTGTTCTTTGATACTTCCTTGAATAAACACTAGCTAGAACACATCCTGAATAGAACAAAAAGCTGTCATTACTTCAAGAAAATTAAACTGAAATTTAAACACTAGCTTTTCACTAACTCAGAAATAATTCAGAATATTCCTGGTTTACAGAACATGGAACATACCTGTATAAGACAGCTCGATCCACACCAAAAGCTCCTACAATCAAATCTTAAGAGAGAATGAGAACCGTGTTAATAATAAAAAATGTTTTTTAAAAATGTCATTCTTTGAAATGCTTAGTGTTCATAAAAAGATTTAAATATATTTCCAAAGCAAAGACGTTTTAAGATGACATGCATAAGGCAGAACTATTTCAAAACTGTAAGCAAGCTCTCCTCACAGTATTGCCGCCCCACCAGCCAGACCTGTATTCAGGCAGACAAGAATCTGCTCAACAATGTTTAGTAAAAAGAACAACAGTGAAGAAGCATGTATCCCCCAAACAGCACAACCCAAAAGAGACCGCTTTATAGACGCCTATGTAGTTAATAGTTTCATTATGAAGTTTCTTTTTTTCTCCATCTTTCTTATTTCAAAACCAAAAAAGCATATATGCTGACTATGAGAGAACACTGAATTCAAACCAGCAAGAAAAAATGCATTTGCTTTTATGATTAACTGGTAAAACTGGTTTAAAGTCTGGACAAAATGGAATCAGATCTCCATCCCACATTATACCCAATAAATTGAGGAAGACCTACACAGAAAAACACAAGAAAATATAAAGACAGAATGGGTTTACTGAAAATTTAAAACCTCTGTATGTCTAAGACACAAACGTGACAAGCTGGGAAACGTATAGGAGAGTTAAGGAGCTGGTACCTCAAGATTAAAGGCACTGCATCAGCTAAAAGAAAAAAATGAATGAATGAAAAGTACCTCAATAGAAAAGATATAAGACAAAGTAATTGCAAAGTAAATACATCATCACAAAAATGCTTACCCTCACTATTAAAAAGCTGTCAAGTAAAACAAAATGATATTATCCACCTATTACACAGTCAAAACTATTATAGAAGTAGAACAAGTATGGGGAAATAAGTACTTGTTAACTGCCACGGAGTGCTTAAAAAAGCTGACAAAAACCATTCTTGTGGAGGGAATGGGATTGAAATTTGACAGCTTTAATAGTACATGCCTCTTGGAGCTGGAGAAACAGCTCAATGGGTAATAGTGCTTGCCACACAAACCTGATGACATGGCTATGGATGTCCAGAGCCACTTAAAGCAAGCATCTATAGTCCCACCACAGCCCTATGGGGAGATTAGGGGGTGGAGACAGGAGAGTCTCCAGAACCCTGCAGGCAGCAAGCTTAGCTTCCACAGAGCCACAGAGACACTGTCTCAAAAAAAGTGGAAAAGCAAGAATCAACCCCCAAAGGTTGTCATCTGACCTCCACACATGTCCTCAGATCACCACACATGCTACGTATATACCCACACAAATCATAGACACACACACAAACACACATAAAAAATGCCTATAACAATTTTAGAGGTGTTTGCTTTGATATAGCAATTTTAGAATTCTTATCTAAGCAAATAATTAGACGCATACAAAAAACTCTAAAGATATGGAGCTGGAAAGGTGGCTCAGCAATTAAGAACACAAACACACACACACACACACACACACATCAGGGATTGTTCTGGTCCATGACAATGCTAGCTCACTAAAAAACAAAAAACAAAGCCGGGTGTGGTGGCATATACCTTTAAACCCAGCACTCAGGAGGCAGAGGCAGAGGCAGAGGCAGGGAGATCTCTGTGAGATCAAAGCCAGCTTCATCTCCATAGTGAGTTCCAGGTCAGCTGGGGGTACAGGGAGATCCTGACTCAAAAAGACAGAGAGAGAGAAAAAGAGAGAGAGAGAGCTACCATTTTAAAAAGTTGGCATGAGCCAGGCGTGGTGGTGCACACCTTTAATCCCAGCACTTGGGAGGCAGAGGCAGGTGGATCTCTGCAAGTTCGAGGCCAGCCTGGTCTACACAGTGAGTTCCAGGACAGCTGGGGCTACTGGGAGACCCTGTCTCAAAAAGGGGTTCAATCCCCAGCATCATGAAAAAAAAGTTGGCATGCTATTTGACCTTTCTCTCTAGCTTCTACAAGGTTTTTCTGATTATTATAAACTTTAAAACAGAAAGAGCATATGTTTCATACTAACACTCCTAGCAAACAGAACTGTCTTTTGTTCCTGCTCCCTTCAATGATGATAACAGTATCTTAAATACAGCACAAGCTTCAATAGTGTTTAAAACATTAAATGGGGAGCTGGAGAGATGGCTCAGCAATTAAGAACACTTGCTGCTCTGGCAGAGGACCTGGCATTGGTTCTCAGCACCCACATGGAGGCTCACAACCCTGTTATGCTAGTCCAAGGCTTCCAATGCCTTCTTCTGGCCTCCACAGGCACTCCATGCATGTGGTATACATATATACATGCTAGCAAGCCACTCAAACAAAAATAAATAAATCTTTAAAAGTAAATAAAATGGAATAATAATAATAATAATATAAAAAATTAAATAATGGAATAATATACAATATAAATCAAGACCAGAGTAAATACTGCTACTTGCTGTTGGGACTGAAAGAACCAAGAATTGTATGTATTTGTAGAAAAGTACCTGGATATCCATTTCTGTCTATATCTGTAGCTCCCTTCATTGAATAGCCAAAGCTTGGGGGCATGCCCTGAGCAGCCCACTGCCCCTCAAGGATCTGAGATGGTACTGCATTCAAGCCTGTTGCTCTTCCATTGAAGATATAAACAAGACCTTTTTTATCTTCACCCCCATATGGAGCAGCAATTGCAATATCTGTGGGGAAAACGGGGCAGGGGTGTGGTGGGGAGGAAGGAGAGAATAAGGGAGATGGTGAATTAGAGAAGAGGGCAAGGATGGAGAGAAGAGACTCAGTACTGATAATATTTATATGGAGAATTTGTCCTGATGGCTGATTTAAAACCCAAAAGAGTACTCTTCATAAATCAAAATTAAGTCTAGCCAAACTTGGTGGCACATACCTGTAATCCCAACACTCGAAAGGCGGACACAGGAGAATCTTAAATTGGAGTACAGCCTGAGTTACATAGTGAAAGTTTTTCTCAAGAGGACAAAAAACAAAACAAATAAGAAAGTGGCAATCTAATTCAAAAAGATTCAAGCAAAACTATGCAAAAATGACACTAATTTGGGGCCAGATGTTTCAGGCCTAACCTTGGACAAACAACTTTCTTTCTGGACCTAAAATGCTTTATCTTTAAACTCACAAATGTAGGATGAGATGGACACGTGCAGTTTTCATCTAAAGTTCATTCTGGCTCCCCAGATTCTTGCCATTTATGCATGATTTATGTTTTTCAGGACATAATTAAATCTAGCTCATAAAAAGTTATGACATCTTGGGGCTGAAGAGATGGCTTAGTGGTTAAGAGTACTGACTGCTCTTGCAGAGGACCTGGGTTCAATTCCCAGAACCCACATGAGGGCCAACAACCATCTGCAACTCCAGCTCCTTCAGAATCAACACCCTCTTCTGACCTGAGGGCATTGTGTGGCACTGGTACACTTACATACATGCAGGCAACACACTCCTACACATAAAAATAATAATTTTTTTAAAGTTATGACATCTTGATTTTGCTCAATTTATACCGAAATATAAACTTAAAAAAATTTTAACTCTTAGCCGGGCGTTGTGGCACACGCCTTTAATCCTGGAACTCAGGAGGCAGGGGCAGGTGGATTTCTGTGAGATCCAGGCCAGCCTGGTCTACATGGAGAGTTCCGGGTCAGCAGAGGTTACAGGGAAACCCTGTCTCAAAAAGACCAAAAGAAATATTTAATTCTTTGAAACAACCCAAGGTACCAAATGATTACTATGGCCATTCCTCACTTGAGACTATTACAAATAGTCTGCCAAGTTCTTTCTCTGAAGCTACAGACCTAGACAAGCCACTGCCATCCTTTCTTTCCCTGGGCCCTCAAAGCAGCCTGCAAGATTGCCCCTGCTTTCTAGTCTTGCTATCATGGCCCATTCTCCTCACAGTTGGCAAATGTCAGTCTTCCTCTGTCAGATCCACACCCTTCCTGATAGCCTTCAATTTCTTTCAAGCATTTACAGCAAGATCCACCGCTCTGGTTTGTTGGCTTTACAAATCTCATTCCTCTTGCAACTGCATCAGACTTTTAGCTCATTCCTTCTTCCCAGCAATCCTGGTCTTTGCTGTTTCTTGGACTCACTGAGCTAGTTCACATGACTAGACTTTCCCTTGCTGTTCTCTCTGTTCTGGAAGCTTTTGCTCCAGGGCTTTTCAAGCCTTGCTTCATCTGTTTGTCCAGATCATAGACTGGACACATTTCAGTCAGAGAGGCCTTCCCTGGCCACCCTGTGAAGCAATGTGATCATCCTCCTGGACTTCCTACTCCACAAGACTCTGGCTACCTATCTCTGTAGCATTAACTTGTCTTTTTTACTTTTCTTTTCAAGCCAATTCATTATTACTACAGACTTCTTCCATTGTTGGTTTACTTGTTTCAAGGCTCTATACAAAACATTAGCTTCATGAAATTAAGGACATGTATCTTTGACCTATAATGGTTACTCTGTATCAGTCACACCAGTTTCCTTATTGTACCAAACAACTTTATGCCTCTTCAGTGGCATCCCCTGAGATAGCTAATATACCTTTATCTCTCATCCTTTATGTGAAATCATTAGCCTGGGAAAAGCTCAAAACCTATCATGAGTACATTCTGGTGGTTTTAGGGTTTGTTGTTTGTTTGTTTGTTTGTTTGACACTGAGTGGGCTCTGATGACTTCTTAGCTGGCTTAGAACTTATTATGTAGACCAGGCTGTCCTTGAACTTGCAGATATGCCTGCCTCTCCCTCCAGAGTTCTGGGACTAAAGGCATGTGTCATCATGCCCAGCTGTGTTATCCTTTAAAAATAAGTACTTAAATTTTGTAGAATCCTTTTTTCAAGCCTTAAAAGACACACATTTCTAAACCGACATAAGCATTAAGAAAGTAAATAAGTTCCCACCAAAAGATGGCTCTAATGCTGAAAGATGATTTAATGTAAGTTGCCTTTTCCTAAGCCCTTCAGTATCTTACGCATTCTAATTATCCTCTCTCTTGACTGCCGGGTCTGGAAAGGTGTGCTTGCATTTTCAAGAAATCATTTCCTACTTTGATCATTTCAACTACACTTTTCAGGTCTCACCCTCCTGTTCGTTTGGAGGGAAAATGACAAAAACTCCACAGAATTACCCTGGGTCTACAGAAAAATGTAAAATGTAACATCGTTTTGGTTTAGACATTCCTTTTCTAGTGATTTGAATGTGAAATGTATCCCAGACAGGCTCCTATGTTGGAACAGCTGGTCTCTAGCTGATGAGGGGGAAGGGGGCTTGAGATTTCACAGCCAGGCCTCGCTTTCTGTATGTTCTCTGCTTCTTGACTGTAGATGCAATGTGACTGGCCACCTCACATTTGTGCTGCAGTGCTTTCCCCACTATGCTGCACTGCAGTCCCCAAACCATAAGCCAAAGCCAATCCTTCTCCTCTTAAGTTGCTTTATATCAGGCATTTAGTAATAGCAACAAGAAAAGTAACTAATACACCCTTTGATGATAGTTGTGTGTGTGTGTGTGTGTGTGTGTGTGTGTGTGTGTGTGTGTGTGTGTGTGTGTCTGTATGTGTGTGTGTGTGCACGCTGGGGAGATGCAAAGAGAAGACCCAAGAATAAGGAAGCAATGACACTGTCATCAGAAAGAAACCCAAATAGATTTGTGTTAGTTAATAGCATATGTTTACATACATGAAGCTCACATAATCCTCTAGTAAAGACATTATCTTTTACAATGTACTATTTTGGAAAATTAAGAGCCAATGAAAAACCTAGACAGATACGTCCTATGGCAGCTATCTCTAAAGGTAAAACTGCTTTGTAAAATCTTTATAAAACTTCGATATTTTTAGCTGCTGCTTATGTATACTGTTGATAAATAAAACATAGCAGTAAAACTATGAAAAGTAGGATGACAATAGCACAGAATCGACTTCAACATGACTGGATACCTTCAGACAAAGCACATGTCTCAACTTTGCCAGAAAGCCTGTGAGAAGGCCCAGCTACAGTAGAAGGGCCTTGTTAATTTCACACAAGGTAGACAATCAAATATGGTCTTCTTTATAGTTTTGTTATTAATAAGCAATGGTTTGATCTGACCTATAGTAGACTTTCCATATTTTATTATGAACTTCATTCTGTAATTCCATGCTATGTTCTCTTAATGACAAAAACCAGTTTTGAAGAAATAAAATATAGCTTGGAATAGTTGTTCACTAACACTAAACATTTCCAAGGTTAATCAAGTTGACACTTCTAGTATATGACACACAGCTGTGCACAAGACAGGAGTGAGAACACTTCCTTTTCACTAACAGACTCATCTATATTTCTAAAGTTTTCTTAATAATTTTCCATTACATTTGGGGGGCATATATATTGTTAATTATACAAAGAAGCCAACAATTAAAATCTCCACACTATTCTTTTTATTAAACCCTTGTAATCTGTATTTTATGTATCTATTTTTAATTATTTTTTAATTTTTATTTATGAGAGAGAGAGGGGGGCCACATGTGTGTAGGGCCTGCTGAGGCCAGAAGAGGGCATCAGATCCCCTGGAACTGGAGTTACAGGGGGTTCTGAGCAGCCCAGTGTGGGTGCTAAGAAATAAACTAGTGTCCTCTGGAGGAGATCAAGTGCTATTAACTGCTCAGCCACCTCTCCAGCCCACTTATAGCTAATTTTTAATCTGTAGGTCAGATTTAGGAAAAAAGTTGTGTTAAAAGCCAACTTTCATTTTTATGGGCATCTATAACTATTGAAATGGGACCATTATAAAACAAGCTTAAGCCTTTTAGAAGTCCTCATGAAAAGACATATAACCTCTCTCAGAATTTTTCCACAGCCACAAGAAAGTTACAGCTATGAAAATATTAGTGGGAAATCAGAGCTCTGAGGTATGCATTACAGATACCACTAGCTGGACACAGAAGTATTTTTTTCACTTGGAGTCAAATGGACAGTAGAGGGCGCTGCTGCCCAGCAGGATGCAGAGGTTCCCTGGGAATGAGTGTTCATTTCAGCGGTTAATCAACTGACTATTTTGAGACTGTGTTAATAATATAATAACTAGTAAAAGTCAAGTTTTGAAAACTTCTGCTTTTTTTGAGACAGGGTCTCCCTGTAGCCCCAGCTGGCCTGGAACTCACTATGTAGACCAGGCTGACCTTGAACTCACAGAGATCTGCCTGCTTCTGCTGGAATTAAACACGTGCGCCACCACGCCTGACTAATTTTGCTCATTTTTTAAAAAAAAAAGAAATCAGCCTGACTTTAACTTTGGTGTCTCAAGGATACACCCCATTGTTCCAGGAAGGTTTGCTCATACACACTTCTACAGATGTTGTTTAGGACTTTCTTCAGGTGAACACACAAAATCAGAAACCCACAGTTGCTGCACTTGGATCTTACCATTGAAGCCGTCCTGATCCAGGTCTCCCAAAGGAGCTATAGCACTGCCAAACCTCGCAAAGACCTCAAACCCATTCAGCTTTGTGATCTGGAAGTCTCCTGATGCTCTCTGCAGACACACTGAGACCTGTCCCACCTCTTGGAGTTTGCCATCAGAGCCTCGATCCATGAACAGAGGTGCTCCAATAAAGACATCTGCATAACTGAAAGACAAAATCTTCTTATCACAGCAAGATCAAATTCCACCTACTACCATTTGCTTCCTAAAAACTCCTCTTTCTTATTAAAACTCCATATCCGCCCCCCCCACCTTGAAGTCTCATATAGCTAGCTACACTAAAGCATAAACCAATACCAGTTACTCCAAAGTCAAACATTCCTCCAAGTCTTCAGAAAATATGAGGGCCTGGAGAGATGGCTTGGTGGGTAAGAGCACTAGATGCTCTTGCAAAGGATCTGGGTTCAGTTCTGAGCACCCAAACAGTGGCCAACAACCATTTATAACTCCAGTTCCAGGGGATCTGGAGCCTTCTTCTGACTTCCACCAGCATTGCATGCATACGTGCATTTATAGACATGTAGTCAAAACTCATACACATAAAATAAAAATAAATTAATAAATAAGAAATAGAAGTAATTTATAAAATTATATATTCTTTTTATAAGAGCTATTAAAAACAGAACCAAAACACAAGAGAAATTTACTAATATTCATGATTAAAGGAGCTTCATTCAAATCTCTTTCTTAGGAGATTATCAGGAAGGAGACAAAGAAACAGATGAAATAATGTTTAGTTTTAGTAAAGTATTTATAAACACAAAGGATAACAGCTTCTGGAAACATTTTATTTTTAAACTTACTCATCCCCATTAATGTCAGTGGCAGCTACAGAAAATCCGAAGTATGCAGCCATCTGAAAACAAGACAAAACATTTACATTTCACCCGGCTAGATCAGGCAACTAACATTTGTGATCCATTTATCACAGAGAAAAGGTGACTTCTTTTTCTCTAAATATAGGGTTGAATCTGGAAATCCTGTTTATTCTGCCAACACAATGGCAATCAGGTAATGAGGCTTTTTTAAAAAATTTCTAGGTTTATGGGCAAAAATTTCTAGGTTTATGGTTCATGTACATCACTCCAGGGTCTCCACTCAGGGACTCCACTGACATCAATGTGCAGTCAAGTCTCTTTCCTACACTTACTATCATCTCCCTTCTTCTCTGTTCCCCAAACATAACATACGAACAGAAAGACATATGGTCACAAACAGGTAATTTAATTATACCCAAGAATTTATAAGTGGTACCTCTACAGTGGGGACAACAGATAATTATGAATAACTAGTAACAACTGACTCTCCACACATGCTGTGCTCTGGCAAAGAAATTATTTGGCAAAATATGTGAAAGTTCTCACTTTTTAATCAAATACTTGCCAGGTAGTTTGTGACTTTAATTATACACAGTACAAATGTGCTTGAATTTATTGAGGGTTTATAATATACAGGCAGAAAGAATGTTTTCTCTCCCACAAGGAATCACTGGCCATCACGGTCAGATCAGTGTAGCTAGAAATAAATGGAGGAGAACACGCTAGAGAGCGTCACACACAAAATAAATGGAGAGATGGGAGAGCAAGGTGAAGAATGAGTCAACACATCAAAAAAGGAAAGAGTACTCTTTCCCAAATCTGAGGAGCTGACATGTCAGAAAGGAACAAGTTGACTTCTGCAATATCTATTCTGAGTTCACTTTTTTCACAGTGAAGATGGAACCTAAGCCTTCACACACACTAGAACACAACCTCGGCCCTGATTCTGGATTGGAACAATACGATGAGATTGGAAAAGGCATGTTTTATGTTCACAGACAAGTAAAAGCTGGAGTGGTAAAGTGGACAGTGTCTGGGGGACAGTGCTGATGTGCTGACCAGGGTGCTACAGAATACTACGCTTGGCTTTAGTCATGTTGACGGTTTGGCTAAAAATGTAAAGATTAGGATTTACTGAGAGAGATTTTTGTCCTGGGCACTATAACTAAAATATTGTCACTCAATTCCCAGAGCTACACCATGGGGAAGTTATCAGTATCCCCGTTTCTATAAATGAGGAGACACATTTGTAAGAGATGTGTCTGCTCAATGGAATAGCAGAACATGGAAGGCCTGTGCCTCTCTAGCCAAGTGGAACCAGTGCACTGTACTGACAGCACACAGCAGAGTCCAGAGACACACAGGCACTCCAGGCAGGGCAAGCTAACTGACCAAAGAGCTGCCAATGGCAGACTCCAACTACCTGCCAACCACAGGCCACTTCACATCATGCATCTGCCCTGCTTAATGAAACTGGACCATTTCTCACCCTTTCGTTCTCCCCTTGATACCCACTGAATAAAGTAGGCCCCAGCTCTAGATTTGAAAACTGGGAAAAGGTATGTTTTTTCTCTACTTACTGTTTAATTTTTCCTTTATTGTTTCCAACTTGCAATTTAATTCTCTGAGGCATTCAAACCAGGATATCATAAAATAGCTATACTCACCGAGAATCTCTTGCATTTAAACTTCATAACTGAAGTTTTTTTCTTTCTTTCTTTCTTTCTTTTTTTTTTTAAAATTGTGTCTTTGAGATAGTCTCCCTATAGCCCCAGCTGTTCTGGAACTCACTATGCAGACCAGGCTGGTCTTGAACTCACAGAGATCCGCCTACCTCTGCCTCCTGAGTGCTGGGATTAAAGACACATGCTACCACGCCCAGCTTTAACTAAAGAATTTTTATTTCATAGTAGAAATTATGTTTGTATATGTCATCTATAATACATTCATCTGTGCCATTCATTTTTAATGAACATAAACTTTTTATAATAGAGGTGTGACATTATAAAAGCATACCTGCTCACCAGTAAAATTGTGTAAAGAGGACATGTTTTTTCCATCATAAATATAAACCTGTGTAGAAAAAAGACAAAATTAAATAAAACACAGAGAAGCTTAAAAATAGCACAGATCTGTGTGTGTGTTTGTGTGTGTGTGTGTGTGTATGTGTGTGTAGTATATGTACAGATTTGTGTAGTTGTGTGTGTGTGCATGTGTGTGTGTGGAGGGAATACATATGCATGTGTGCCTGTGGGGTTCAAAAGCTAGGACCCAGCATCTTCCTCTTTTTCAATGCAGGATCCCTTACTGAGATCCTGATTAGCCTAGGCTTGCTGGCCGAGCTCCAGGGATACACTTTCTCCACACCGCCCACCTCCAGTGCTGGGGTTACAAGTGTGACCAGTTTTTACATGGGTGTTGGGGATCCAAACTGAGGTCCTCAAGCTTGTCCAGAAAGAGCTTTCCCAACTGAGCCATCTCCCCAGCTCACCACAGATGTCTGACCCTTTGTCTTTCCTACCATTCCCAAAGTCCTGGCTGCTCTTGGAACTCCTGAAACAAAATCTGAGAAGGAAAAAACAAAAACTCAATTACTCATTTTTAAGACAAACATTGGAAATTACAGGTGTAGGTACTCTGCCAGAGAGCTGTAAGTTTTATTATTTCAGTAGAAAATAAACAAGATTTTGAAACTGATAATCCATAATAAATTACTCCAGCATTTTAAGTTATAAAAACACAGTTTATAAACTATAAAAACATTTTAAGGATGCAAATAAACCCTCAAATTACTTGCCACCTTATTAAACAGGACTAGAAAGATTAAGTGACTTAAGAACTAAGAAAATCCTTATTTACAGTAACAAGAAATAATACAAAGTAAAGTGTAATGAGGCCAGTGTTTGGGGCCTAGAGGCAGACCAGGCCAGCAAAGTCCAAGATGGTTACACTGAACCCAGGGGAAAAGCAGGAAGGACCCAATAACCTGCCTCCAGGCTGTGCCCAGAAGCCACAAATCAATTAGGATAATGAAAGGCCTCTCCACAGGAACATAATTTGCTAGAAGGGGGAGGATGGGTTCCCCAGACCCACAACAGCCTTGCAGGGACCAAGGTCAGAGCAGAGCTCGAATACCTCCTTCCTTCCACTTATATCCATAAAAATGGTTGCAAACTGTAAAAAATTCTGTCTTATGTTTCAAGTGCTTTTTAGAAAAGGATTAAACAGTTCACATTCTTCGTACCATCAGTGCCATCACCATTGAAGTCTCCCACAGCCACTGAGTAACCTAGGGAGGAACAAAAGGTGAGACACCATGATTTCCTTGAAAATATTTATAACTCCTCTTTCCTCTAGGGTAATACATTCACATGTACATAAGTGGCTTTTAAAAGTAAAAATGTGTTAAATACTCAAAAAATTAGAAAAATTAGATGGTCTTAGTCACTTTACAAAGGATACTATTAAAAAGCTGGGTAAATTTATAGTTTATCTAAAAGAGACAACAAATAACAGATCCCCTCAGTCAGCAAGTCCTACTTCTGTGGTGTAACTTGTTTCCATAAAATAACAAGAAATTTAAAGAGACAGAACAAACACTAATAAATACTTAAGACCAAAACTGTGTCTGAAAGTTCAGTATCAGAATAACTGGGTTGGGACTTAGCACAGCAGGCTGTAAATGAGTGACTTCAGGTAACTGGCTTTGCCTCTACCTCAGTGTTATTAGCTATAAAATGGGAATAATAATGCTGTACCTTCATAGACTTGTGGGCTTACATAAGTAAATACAAAGAAAATACAGACAACGCCTAGAATACAGGAACCACATTTAAAGACTAGCTATTATTATTAGCACTGTGCAAATAATCACTTGCTTCAATACCAATTGCAGAATTATAGTACAACCTAAGTACTCATTATCCATTTGATATTTTATGTGCCTTAGATGTTTAAAAAAATTAATCTTTCATATAAGCGATTTTTCTACTTAAAGTACTATATACAGACAATAGGAAAAATATACAACAAATCCATAAAAATAAGTCTGTATCTTGGTTTTACTTACCCAAATAACTGTCGTCAAATATTGCTTGTGCAGTCCGAGTTGCTAACTGGTTATTATATTTGATGCTGTAAACATTGGGGTCATATTTAGATATGATTTCTGCCACTTGATCTGAAATGAGCTGACCTGGGGGCAGGGAACATATACGTGTATGAAATAACCTTCTTTTACTTACTTATGTTGGTATTTTGTGACAAGGTCTCCCTGTAGCCCCACCAGGTCAGATCTAGCTATGTAGAGCTGGCTGGCCTCAATTTCACAGAAATCCACCTGCTTCTGCTTCAGTCTCACCAGTGCACTTTAGAAATGCTGGTTTTGATCCAAAACAGTAAACTCAACTGAAAATTTCCCTAAATAAGTTTCATTTCCTGATAGCTGTATAACTCAAGGAAACCCTCATCTTGCTGTCTGCGCTGCAGTGTCACTGTGCCTCACAGCTGCCCGCTGCCTGCCCGCTACAGCTCTGTCTCCGCTCTTCTTTCCCGGATCTGCCTTCCTTTTCCATTTTCACTTCTTCCTAGCTCCTGTTTCTCCCTTCCCTTCTTCCTGTATCGAGTAGCTCTCTTTTCCTTCTCTTTCTAGAAACTGAATGTAAGCATGTGGTTCCCAAAGCACGTGGTTCCCACAAAGAAGCAAGCCTGGAAAGTGCAATGGGGAAGAAAAATACAACTCGAAATGAAAAAGACTTTTAAACCAGTCCAGTGACATGATTTCCAATGTTTCCAAATAATGACAATGTTTAAAATACTAGACTTTTAATAAAAAAGAATTCTGGCTCGTAAACAGCACTCGTCAGTAGAAACTAAATGAGTAATATATTAACAAAATAACTGCATCTCTGACAAAATGAAACACATGAACAGATTTAGTTGCCTATATTAGTGTCTCTCACACTGACCCCTGCATTTGATGCCTGATTTTTTGTTTTCTTCATTCCCACTGAAGTGTCAGCAATAATGGCCTCTTACACATTTGCTCAGATGATAATGTAGTTACGCTTTCCAGAATAGCTGAATGTTTTATGTATTACTGCCAACTTCATTACATTGGTTTTAAATGTAAGATTTGCTATTTTTAAAAAGTCCTCAACACTTAGAGACCATTCTTGATGGCACTGATTAACAAGATGACAATCAATTGTATATTCTAATGAGCAATTTAAAACCATGTGCTTTCACACTACCAATGCTTGTGTCACAGCCTCTGTGGTATAAACATATGCACACCACATACAATAAAAGAAACCATTTAAAACAATTTTGTATATTTATTTTAAATATACTTTTAAAGCACTGTTAATTTTCTATCAGGAAAATATACATATTTAGAATATATTATATTAAGCATATCAAATTATTTTTTTAAAACAGTACAACAGAGAATTTATACATTTAAGTTACATTTTATGGGGCTGGAGAGATGGCTCAGCAGTTAAGAGTACTGGCTGCCTTTGCAAAAGACCCAGGTTCAGTTCCTAGCACCCACATGGCGATTAAAAACCATCTGTTAACTCCAGTTTCAGGAGATCCGATGCCCTCTTCTGACTTCCACAGGCAGTGCACAACATGGGTGCACTTACATGCAGGCAATACACTCATACACATAAAATAAATATTTTTTAAATTACATTTTATATTTCTTCAGGATAACTTGAAATATTTCACAGGTACATTAGTAGCTAGACATTGAA